CGACCGCACAGCTTAGAGGGAATGTTGAGATTCCCAACACACGGTCATGCAATCTCCTGGATTCAAAGTCAACATGCGATGGCCACACGACCGCACAGCTTAGAGGGAATGTTGAGATTCCCAACACACGGTCATGCAATCTCCTGGATTCAAAGTCAAGATGCGGTGGCCTGCTGAGACACTGGAACCCAGCTGGGGCATTTTAATAGCAGCATTCCCATGCTGCTTCATGCCAGACCTGCATCCATGAGCATGCCAACATGGCACAGTTATAGCAGTTTGATACCACGTCATCTGTCATGGCTTCATCCTACCCAATCCTGGGATTAGGAGTTTGCTGAGGTACAAATACTTTTTTTTTTGCTAAGGCGCTCTAATTCACATCCCTGAACTACAGCTATTGTAATAAAACACATTAGATTTCCCTCCAACATCATTATTAAAGACTAGGAAATTTCCCCATGTGGGTAACAAACTTTAGAAGGCTGGAAAGAAGGGGGATAGAGAAACTCTTGAAAAATGGCTGCAGCATTTGAAGCTGGAGGTGGGTGAATAGGTGGGGGGCCATTGCTGATCCTGAGTGTAGCTCATCTATTCTAAGTATTATGGGGTTTATTAAGAACACTATCTGACTCTGTAGGCATTATTTGCAGGCATTGGATTCACTCCTTGGTCACATGTCAGAGACAGAAGTTTAAAAAGACACACACACACACACACTCCACACGGACAGCAGTATTTGTCTGTGTATATTTGGGAGTATATGCACACAAAGTTAAAAAGCAAATTGTACTGAAAAAGCAAAAGAGGGCTTTATCCATTTACAAGAACGTCCCTTCCATCCATCCAGATCTGCTACAAAAAAAAGACCATTTCTATAAAGTTGACCTGCTAATAATTGTCTTGCATTTCAACCACACACACACCCCAAAAGGTCAAATGAATGGCATAATTGAAAAGCCAGGAAAGAACGTGTGTTTTTTTTTTTTAAAAAAATATCCAAATGTAACTTCTCATGCAGTGAACTATGACTTCAAATTCTCATCATTAAAAATAGGAAGGAAAAAAATAATTTTCTTTTAAATTGCAAGAATATGAGTTGCTATAGAATAATAAGATTTTTTGAACATACAGTAGTATCTCCATATCCTTTCAGTTCCAAGCCACTCCCATGGGTGCTGAAAAACACAGATTATAGTGAGTGTTAGTAACAAACACTATACACTAAACACTATGGTCTCTGCCTCCCTCTAATGGCCAGTTCTGATAATGTCATTGTTAGATATATATATTTTTCTAGGATTTTTCTTTTAATATTTTTAATATTTTCAGACTATGGATAACTGAATCAGTGGATATTAATCCCACAGATAAGGGGGTCCTAGTGCCTGTAAAGCAATTTTTTCTCTCTTTCCCCCTCCTTTTCATTTTTACAAGGCTTTCTTATACTGTATCAGGCAGTCTTCAAGTAAGGTAATGCCCACCTTCTCTTGAAAACTGCACTGTTGTTTCACAGAATTAACCCAAAGTTTGGTCCCTGTGGACAGCTTTTTGGTTGAAAGAATATCAATGTGCATCCAGGGTTTCAATTACAGCATTATTATTTTGCCCATATATGACTTGATTTCTATGGACTATTTTCATCATTCCCCATCCAAACTGTAATTTTTAAAAAATGCATACATTAAAAACATGTCAAGACAGCAGAGACACCATTATATCCAAGTGGACCCAGGCTTGAAAAAACAAAAGGGGTACAAAATGCTCGTCGTCTGTTTTCCTGGAACATATCATATGTTGCTCGTAAAAGAAAGGTGTGTGTTTGTGGAAGGAGGTTTCATTGTTCTCCACTGCACAGTTTTGTTGTTGTTGTTATTGTTGTTGTTGTTGTTTCTGCTGCTGTTGTTGTTTGTCTAGGGCTTTTTCTGCATTACTTTGAAAAATTTCCACCATTGCAAAGCAATAATGGGTAAAATACAGTCCTAAATTGTTGAGCATAAAAGAATAGCAAACGTTGGTCAATGGACAATAAAGAGTGCAAAAACTGCAAAGCATCCAACTGGAGAACAAACTCATCTCAAGATGCTGTAAAATGATGAGAGTCTTTCAGTGAGATAACAGCCTTTTCCTGACTTACCCACTTGCCAGTAAGCTGTGCTAGAGATGTGTTGGGTATCTGAATAATAAACACTGCTTTGCAGTGTCTTGAAAAACAAATGTGTCTATACACATTTCTCCTATACATTGGTCAATGGTGATAGCCATTTAACCTCCCTCTCCCTTTCTCTCTCTCTTTCTCTCTTTCGTTCCTCTCCTGTCTGGGAAGGGTAGATCCTAAGTTGTGCTTAGGATCTACCTAAGCATAATTTAGGATCTCATCTCTCCTCAGGCACATACACAATCTGTTGTGTTTCACTTTCTCCCCCCATTTTGGAATCATATTAGTAGCAGTGTGGCAAAAGCTGTACTTTAAAAAAAATGCCACTGCTTTGCCCTGAGCTACAGTGTTGACGATAGGGGTTCAAGAGAACCAAGAACTAGCATGGTGTGAGAGCCGTATGTGCTCCATTTTAAACCATTTTGCTTCCATTTTAATTCTCCCCTTGCTTCTGGCATTGATTACAGCCAATGCAACCCCATCTGTAATATCATATCACACATTCAACATGGGATCATAAAGGCCCTCTTTGATCTCGCCAAAAGTTTGCCCTAATCCTGCATTTCTGGTTCCTGTAGTTAGCTGACAACCAGATGCCTTCTGAGAAGCTCACAACGGCTCTAAGGTGGCGTGGAATGTACCAAAAATGCCCCCGCAGCCCCCAAGCCTATGAGTTGTCCTCCAACTTCATTAGCGACAGTGCAAAGTTCTGCCTCAAAAAGGGTAGCCTTTCAGACACAATGAAATAAAACACCGAAAAAGAGGTTGGGTGAAAGTTTTCTCCCTGAAGTGCTAACTTTTTTTGCTTGCAGGCATTTCCTTTTTCATGCAACTGGAAGTAAGGACGGTCAGTTCCACAGCACTCAACTCTAGATCACTTACCCCTTTCACTCTTTCGGCCTCCCATATCGAATAGCCTCTGGTTATGTCCTAACAGCCATGTCTTAGCTGAAAACATGAAAGAGGCCCCATACACAAAATAGTTGCAAATGCACAGGAGAGTCTTCCATGCTGTCCATCACATGCATTGATTCTGGGGTGCAGGGAGTACACTATCAGCGTCTTCAAACTCTCTCAAAGGTCCCTTTTTTTGAGGCAGAGCTCATAAAATATACTTTATGGATTTCAGAATCGCCCAGCTAACTGGGTGATTCTGAATCAAAAAGATTTGAATTTTTTTTTAAAAAAAATACCTTTTCTAGTTAACTAAGAGCAGCCTCGCTGTGTACCAGAGGGAAGTCATTTCTGCCTTAAATTAGATGGAAAAACTTGCCTTTTTCCATGTGCTGGAAAAACAGAACTTCAGGAATCAGTATTGTATGTCTTGGTCTCACATTGCCCATTTACAGCGTTGGGGATTAGAAATTTATTTTTTTATGACTTCCAGAATTTCCAGCTAGCATAGCCAATCACCATGGAGACTGGAGGATCTGGGTAGGATCTGGTCCTCTCCAAAAGTAAATTTACAGGGTTCCACCTATTTAGTAATTCAGCCGATAGAGAGAATGGATTCGGCTTGGCAACCCACCACGCAATCAACTCCCACTTCTTGAGACCTGTGGCAGGTGGTACAGGCAAGGCAGACCGCTGCGTAAAGCCATCCTGAGGCTGAGCAGATTTCAAGCAGATCCCAAGGGATGCTTGTCTTCTGAAGCGGACTGTAACAGAACAACATGAAGAAGATGGAAGGAGGAAAGAGGGGACAAACCATATAGCAAGCCAATGACCTGTGTTCACTTCCTGGAGGGAAAAAAAAAGGCATACACATGTATGTCAGGAGAAAGATTAACATCTCAAAGGTTTTTTTTTACAATTCCCTATGAAAAATGGAATGGTTGCCACCAGTAACTTTCTGGGACTGCAATATCTAGAATCTCCAGTCAAAGGACAGAATGATAGAATCTTAGACTTGAATTATACAACAGTAGAGTTGAAAGAGATTCTAAGAATCATGAACTCTTAATTCCATCCTAATGCTGGAAACAACAACTAAACTATCCCTCGCAGATGATCCTCTAATATCTGTTTAGAAACCAACTATGGAGGAGAGTCCACCATCATCCAAAGGAGTTTTTTTTCCCACTGCTGACCTGCTCATCATCAAGATGTTCTCCCTGTTTTTCAGAATCTCCCTTTCATTTTCCCTTTCCCGGCTGGTGAGGGTGGGTGGGAAGTGTGAGCCCGGGAATCATTTTTGTCCAAAAAGAAGCATTTCCAAGATCTGGTTGGCCAACGAGTCCCTACGACTGTGGAATTTGCTCAGAGAAATTAGGCCACCTCTGGTATTGCAATCTGTTTGACAGAGGATGGGCAGTAGGCTGACCCTCCGATTTCCCAATCAAAAGGTCTAGGGGGAGGGAATAGAAAGGAAAGAGCTCACACCTGATCCAACCGCTATCCTCCACTCCCTTCAGAGACCCGCCTCATTATTTAAGGGCAACAACAGTTCCTGGAGAACTTGACCAAACAGCTGCCCTCTTTCATAGGATTAAAAGATGGTTGAGCCTGACAGAAGTCAGGAGCTGGCCACGTTACCAGAAGAATGTCCATAAAAACACGTGGGTTTCACCTGGGAACACAGCTACGCTCTAGCCCCACAACATTGCTAGAATTTTTTTTACCTCAACATTTGTCCTGATAAGGGAATTACAAAACAGTACTCCAGAAAATATTATTGTTATTGTTATTATTGTTGTCGTAGATGTCATTGTTTGCTCTCTCTTTTTTTTTGCTACTCCTTTATTAGTTGGCAAGATGTCATTGTTTGCTCTCTCTCTTTTTTTTGCTACTCCTTTATTAGTTGGCAACGCGGTGAAATAGTCAGGAGATCCTCCTTGAATTTTGGAGCTCTGGAAGAGAATCCAATGTTAAAGAAAAATGTAGGTACTTAACTGAAGAGATTTTTTTTTTCTCCCCCTCGTAAACAAATCTGTCGGATGAAGAGTCACGTGGAAAGCCCTCTGCGAATGCAGTCGCTAGCTGCAGTGCAGCCATGCACGTTTACCGACATGAGGCGTAGTGCCACGTACATCATCTATTTTAGCCAAAAAGTTTAGTAGTTACAGAATAAGTTAACTAATTGGTCGAGATCTTCCTTAAAAAACAAACAAACACCTTCGACTGAAACAAACAAAAAAAAAAGGAGCTGGATTGCTTGGTCCCAGGTCTTAAGTCTGTTAGAAAATGTACATTCAATGTTTTGGTCTTCCATGTCTTGACAAAAGATCAAGGTTCACTTATGGGTTAAGGAATCCAGGTAAAGAAGCACTGGACAGCTGCTTTACTTCCAACTTCTTTTTCTCACCCCTTGGTACATATGGAGGGCTCATTGTTATAGACTAATGCAAAGCACTTGGTACGTAAGTAACTTAAGAGACTTCTTACAAGCCCTAAGAAAATGGGTGCAGTGTATGTGTGTCTGTAATTTTTTTTCCATTGAAAAGCCCATGTTTTTAAGGCCACAGAATTCTGCTAAAAGTTTTATTCAGTGTGTTTCGACGAGCTTAATCCATCTGTCCTTTTCATTTCTCCCTGCCATGCTTTTTCCCCCTCCCAAGATGACACATCACTGTGTTTGTAAACACTGGAGATGCCCGGAAGCCTGGCCTCCCCTCCTGGTAGATTCGAAGCTGTCAACATCCACAATGGAATTTCAGTTACATTCACAAAGAAGAAGAACTTTGAGTATAATCTCTTATAATAAGCGAGTCATATTTCGGTGAAGAGGGGACGCAAAGGGCAGATTCGGAGGCCGGGGAGCTGGGCGAAGCGCTCCCTGAATCTACAGAGTCCCTGAAAGGAGAGGGCGGCGTCAAAGCCACCAACTCGTCAAGCTCAGGCTTGGCCACTTTTGAGGTTTCTACCGTAGGGCCTTCTTTGACGCTCCCGCAGGATGGTTTCCGGGCCGACTGGGAGGCTCCGTTGACCTCAATGGCAGGGAGTGGTTGGATCTCTGCAAAAGTCGTCATGGTGGTAGGGAGCTGTATCTCTCTCGGGATCAGGTAGGAAGAGCACAGGGGCGTCGTCACGCCTGCCGTGGGAGTGGAGAGCATCATGGAGTTTAGCTCGCTGATATTGGCTGTGAAGCGGGTCACCACGCTGCTGATCTGTTCCATCAGAGAACCTTGGGAGGAACTGCTTCTCTGGGCTTGCTCCGACTGAAACGTTGGGACGTCGTCTTCGGTCCGGCTCAGCGAGGCAGTCCTCTGGCTCACGGTACTGATGGGGGAAGGGTTCTGAGCCCGGTACTGGGCCGGATAGTGTTCCTCTGCTTCGGAGACATCGTAAAGTGTCTTGGCACTGGGCTCGGGAAAAGAAGGGGTGGATGTAATGATGGTGGCGGCGGTAGAGGCGGTGGCTGCACTACCATGACGGTTGCTCTCTGTGCTTTTGGAGAAAGGCTTGATGACAGCCGTTTGGTTGGGATTTTCTTTTTTGTTGATGTGTACAGAAAGCCGTTGCCAGAGGTGGGCGCCCCTACTGGTGCTTTTCTCATTCTGGGCCCACGTCACCGATTTTCCATTGGAACTGCAAAATAGGACGGAGAGAGAAAGAGAGAGAGAGGGAGAGGCAGGATTTAACTTTTCTGTCTACACAACTGATTTAAAAAAAGGTGAATCAAGAATGCTAAAGACATTCTGTGTATCTTTCCTGCAAAGCTGACTATAAAAATGTGTTGACTGCTATCAGATTTAAGAGGTATCAACACACAAGTGTACAAAATACTATTAGACTTATCAATATACAATAATGGCACCTATATGAAACCAGGTGGCTATCAATTGTTTGTATATCATTTCAGAGCAAATGAAGACTTTTGGTATTTTGGACGTCCTCAAGTTGGAGAGGCGTGTTGGAGTCCAACCCTGTGCTCAACGTAAATGATCCAAAGCTTAAGCCTCCTCACAGATGGCTACCTCACCTTTTTTTTTTTTGAAGACCACAAATGAGAGAGAAGCCCCCTACTATCTTGACAATTGGTCCAGAGATGGGAAGATTTATTAGAAATTCCAGGATTCCAAAGCCAACAGGATCCATGGCCAAACCAGCTGGAAGAATTCTGGGAACTGTAGTTTGAAAACTAACAGCTTCCCTGTTTCTGAATTGGTTCAACTGTTGCACTGCTCTTTGACACCAGAAGGCTTCTCTTAATGTTCAACTAAAATTTATTATTCCGTAACTTTCTCTCATTCGATATAAGTCATGTCCTTTGGTGCAGCAAACTATCAGACTTTATCTTGTTTATGATGGCCCTTCCAACATTTGAAGAGCACCAACTGTCTCTTCATTGGTAAGTATGGAAATCATGCCTAATTCACACATGGTACAATGTTTCTGGGTCCATTCACATGGAAAACAGGAATAAGAAATGCTCCAGTTAGTAGAGAGAGACTTAATATAACAGTAAGTGCACTACTGTCCTCTGGCTTATGCCCATATTTTTATGCCTGTTTTAATATCCAGTTTCCATATGCATTTTCTCTTTAAAATCAGGATTCTAGATGCTGCTATGCACCATACTGATATACAACTCTAAGCTTTCTCCCTCACTAGGGACAAACAGTACATTAGACAGCCCATTAAATTCTGGAAGATTCCCTGTTGAGCTTTGAGAGGATGCGGAGAACCTTCCCATGAGGGTGGTGGGCTATTAGTCATTAAAGAAGGCCTGCACACAGGCAATACCAGCACAGGGTAATCTTATTTATTTATTCTCTATTTCCCAATACATTGACAAGCCTCCAGATATCAGAAGGAAACTAAAATTCCTTCCTTCCTTCCTTCCTTCCTTCCTTCCTTCCTAACTGAGGAAACGTGAACATTGTTTCTGGGCAAAATAGCTTTTCACATTCTTAGTTTGGCTCCCTGCCCTCTTTCATCACAGCTTTCTCATTTTCTCTGTTGGTAAATTATCCAGAGACGTTTTCTTCCCTTTTTCTTTGCTTTTAACCATGGTCGGCACCAGAAGAGGAACCGCAGAAGTTGTCACCAAGAACTGATGACGTACCAGTCACGGGTCGCATGCAAACAGGATGTCACTGGCCATAAATATAGGGGAGCAAGCTAAGAATTCTCTCAAGGTAGGGCCAGGATTCTTTCAGGCCTATAACTTTTTTTAAAAAAGTCTATGTTAGTCTAAACATTAGCCATGAGTAACTTCAGAAGTTTATTCCCTTTCTTCCTCATTTTTTGCATGTGTTTGTTTGTACAGTACGTACCTTTCCTCCGCTTAAAGGCATTCTGTGATCATGCATACACAATAATCTTCTTCTTTTGAATAATGCAGTCCTAAACACACCTACCCCCCAAATAAGACCCATTGAGGTCAATGGAGCTTGCTCCTAGGCAATTACAGCTCGTTACTGGAGCACCTTGAAATTTTGAGGTGAGCCAAACCTACCATAGCCATATATTTTAGAGACGCGGCTGCCTTATGTGGTCAGCACCCGGCTCAAGGGGCAGATTTCGATGGGCACACAAGGGTAGCGTGATGACAGAGGGTGGAGGGCTTTGCCATACATCCTGCCCTGCACTCCTTAATCGGAGCTGGGAGAGCTTCTACATGGATGACAACCCCCAGATTCCACCACCAACATGCAGCAGGAGCTTCCGGGAATTGCAGTCGAACAGAATCCTGCTGCTTGCTGCTTTCAAATCTTATGCCCTGGGGGAAGAAAGGTCCTGGATGCCATAAACATAGTTAACCAGGTAATTTGATGCTGGTCGTAGTGAGCCCACTGCCTCCAACGGGAGGTGGCGAGGGGCAGGGAGCGTGCTGTTGTGATGCTGCAACACACACAGTCTCCCTCTGTATGCCTCTCAAAACAGCCTGCTATCCCCTGAGGCAAAGGAGCAGATGACCCACGGCTGATGTCCCTTTGCCAGCTCTGTGTCTGGTCAGCTCCTGCATCTGCAGAGGTTCCGTTGTATTTATTCCTCAGGCAGACAGGTTGACCCTGTTGGCATTCTCTCTGTCCAGACACAAGGGGATCCCGGGTAGGAGGCGAGGCCTTCAGCCTCTTTTGATACCACCCCCCTCCCCCAGATTAAAGAGAGAGAACATCTCCCCATGTTTTGGATAGGCAATCCTTTTACACAATCATTGCTCTCATGCAACTGCAGCCCAGGATGTTGAATGGAGAGAAATTCAGGATGCTTCAACATCTGGTCTTGCTGGAAGTTGATGGTTATTACAGACTACCTGCCACAACATAAAAGTAGGCTATTTAATAACGGGGGAGTGGGCGGAGTGGGGAGGGGAGGCAAAGTGGAGTCTCCAGTCAGAAATCATAACCAAAATCCTGGGCCTTTTGCCATGTGAATATATATATATATATATAGAATCATGTGGCAATCTGCTTTTAGAGCAGAAACTCCTGTCACATTTATGTAGCACATTAAACTTCCGTGCTCTCCACAATGTGTTGGTTGTGAAAAACAAAACGAAACGGAACAGTGACAGTTCCAGGAAATGGAAGGAGAAGGCCGTTTTTTTGGATGCCCTTTTTCTCCTGCCCTGGGGGGTGCCTTGAGACGCATGTGTCACTGATGCTACCCACGCAGAAGATTTAACTGAGAGGCAGTCCGATCATTTTACAGGCTTTCTTTTCGAGGGGAAGAAAAAACCCTAGAAGTGACAGACACCAAAACCATCACACTTCCTCAAAGGCCAATGCTAGTTACTTAGGCATCACTAAAAGGAGAAAATAATGCAAGTGAAACAATGAGGGAACATTGGAAGCTGCTGGTTTGTGTAAGATCTGCCCACGCTGATTTCTATGTACAGGTTCAAATTTAGAAATACTTGGGGCTCATCCAGATATAAGATTTGTACTGGGTTTTATCATGATGTTTCTCCTCATTTGTACAACATAAGGCTTGTCTCGCTTAGCTCAGTGTTTTTTTTTTCCCCACGACTGTCCATGCTTTTCCATCGCTCCTTTCTGCATGATTTGTTTAGTTCCAGCAGAAAGGAGTTTAGTGCCACGGTGCTTCCCATGTCAGAACCTCCCAACCGGAAATGTTCAATTTGAGTGTCAATTTGCACACAAAAAAACCAACAATGTTCCGGAAGAGAAGCCCTGGGGGATGGGATTTCTTAAATATTTCTAAAGGATTTTAAAGAATCTCTAAAGAGAAGTGGCTTTCACACATGCATCTTTTTAAAGGAAAGTTTGGTCGGGAGTGACGGAGAAGAGAGAAAGGGGCGTTGGTTAAACTTTTGCACTTTCTGGAAGATATTGTAATTTTAACAGAAATACAATGTATTTATGATCATGAGAAACGCTGACAAGTTATGTCTGCTGCTAACATAATCATTCAATAACAGTTATAATAAATAAAATAGAAAAGGGTTAAAAGAAAACTCAGGAATTAACTGAAGGGAAGGCCTGGGTGTAGAGCCAAGTCTTTAATTGGGTTTTAAAGGTACCCAGCCTGTTGACTAGCCGTTTCGAGGCCCTCGCTTCTCTCCTTTCATAACAGTTCTTTATTGTTGAAGTTAGAGGGAGGACTGTCTTCAGTGAGCTAAGCCGCACACTTGCCATATGAAAGATGGAAGGCAGGTTTCCACCAAACATAGCCACAACACTCTGGTCAACATCCTTCCCAAATTTGTCCATTTATTCTCTCCTCTGCTCCTCTGAGCACTGCAGTAGACATCTTCCTCACAGAGGAGGGAAACAATTTGCTGATGTTCTCCTCGGGAGGCCCCTCTTGGCTCTCGAATCTGCTCTTCCTTCCTTCCTTCCTTCCTTCCTTCCTTCCTTCCTTCCTTCCTTCCTTCCTTCTACATTGTTCAGATCAGCAAGTGCAAAGTGGCCTTGAAAACCACAGAAATGAGGTCATACCTTTCAGAATGCCATGGAATTGCAATGCTATCATGATGCTCAAGGTAATGTCTCCGTGTGTGCATCTGAAAACTCAGACAAAGTAGGCTTTAACTATTCTCTTCAGCTGTAGGGAACATACATATAAATGATCCTGTTACATTGCTTTGCACTTATGAACCTGTTTCAACACCTTGGTATCCCACAGCCCAGCCAGCAGCCTCTGGTCCCTGGGACGATGTCATGCCTCCTGACACCCAGCCTTAGCCGTCTGCTCCTTCTCCTTCTCAATCCTGACCTGAGGTTGCTACCTCATTATGTCAGCCTCCATGTTGGTAAGGGGACTGTTAGTGGTGTCACATTGAGTTACCTGAGGCTGCAGTCTACCCCAAGGGCTCAAGTTTCACATCAGCTGGGAAAATCTGAAGAGAAAAATCTTTTCCCTAACTTCAACTAGGCCATTCATGCTGATCCGTTCCAAGGGTGGGATCCTTTCCTCAAATCTGCAATGACTAAATATAGCTCTCCGATGTGGGCTTTGAATATAGTAGGAACCCCGTATCTGTGGGGGCTCAATTCCAAGATCAGTTCAGTGGATGCTGAAAAACAGGGATTTAAGTGAACCTTATGATAATAGTGGATACTATACATAGCATGAGGGACGTGGTGGCACTGTAGGTTAAACCACAGAAGCCTCTG